TGCAAGGCAAACGATGTGAAGGATTCACCCCTGATATATGTCTACAGCTATGCAGGGTGTCTCCTGTACAATGTCGGCTCCTTTATGCTCCCTGCGTTGTACAGCACTCTAGTCAAGATCTGGATTGCGAACATTGACTCTACCCTGGTGGTTACAACGGATGTCTATACTTATATCGGCACTGTTGCCGAGGTACTTAACGAAGGTCTTCCTCGTGCCGTCTGGGTGACTATCGCCGATCAAGTTACGCGGTCATACGAGTCTCGTCTAGAACTCGCACATACTCTGGTCGCGTTCCAAACAGTCCTCGGTCTGATCATGAGCATAATCCTCACCAGCGCTGCCAAAGCCTTCACGGCCACCTTCATCCCGCGCGAGGCTCGGAAAGCAAGTATTACCTATGTTCAGATTAGTGCATTCTCAGCCCTCAGCTCTGCTATAGAAGTTGCAGTATCCAACGCGACAAGGGCCCTGGACAAGCCCGACGTTCCTCTCGTGATTAGTTCGGTTAAGATTGTCGTGAACATTATCCTGGATCTCCTGATCATTTCCAAGTTTCATGTGGGTGGCTGGTCTCCAAATATTAACATGCAGGCTGCGATTCGTCTGGGCTGTGACATGGTCGCGGCTCTTACTGGCTTAGCATACTTTATCCAGACAATAAACCGGTCCGAAGAACGTCGCAGCTGGCACTGGATTGGAAGATTTCCGACGGTTTCTGCCTTCTTAACGCTTCTCAAACCAGGCTTGATCACCTTTGTCGAGTCGGCAGTGCGAAATGCGCTATACCTCTGGTTGGTTGCAGGAATCGTGACTATGTCCGCAGACTATGCTACAGCATGGGGAATATTCACTACAATTCGATGGGGTTTGATTATGGTGCCTGTTCAGGCACTGGAGGCTACGTCTCTCGCTTTTGTGGGGCATTTCTGGGCTATCTTTAAGGAAAATCATACAGAATGTGGGCGTTGGAGAAAACTTGCAAGTAAGTTCCAAGTCATCAAGCAGCTTTAGGGTACAAAACTTATGCTTTGTAGTGGTCACGCGACCGGCTTTTCTCTCTGCTGGTATAGCTTTAGCTATCGAAGTACCCCTCTGCATCCTTCTGGCTACGGTAGGATGCAAACCGTTTGCATACTATCTAAGTCAATCCGAAAGGGTTGCTGAGATCACGGCTCATATGTGGCAGACGATAGACTGGTAAGTTCCCAGTGGCTACAACTAGTGAATTCCTGATTGTCTATCATCACTCATGCATTCAAGGTGTTACATTCTATATGCAATCTCGACCCAGCTTGCCACCATACTTCTGGCCACCCGTCCAATGTGGTATCTCGTGCAGAGTCTCATTTCCAATCTTCTTTACGTCCTTCCTTGGGCAATTGTCTGCCAATTTGCTCACCTTGATCCTCATAATGCTTGGACTTATCATAGCCTCGTTTTTGGAGGAAGCCTGGTATTTACGTTCTCGGAGATTTGTTTAATCATTCTTCTGTGGTTTTGGAGATCTCGATAAAGCTAGCTGGTGCTATACCCTCACCTGTACGAAGAACTTTAGGATCACGTTACCAGTTTTTTATGAGGGCGTAAAGGTCTATCGATGTAGGTAATCAAACATATCTCTACAAGTCAAATATGCTACAAAGGGGTTGTCTACACTAATGATACTAACGGAATGCCAGTGATCAGCTGTTGGCACCAGAATCGACGGGCAAGGAACGTAAAGACCAATAACAGCATTGTACGAACGCAGGCTAGACTTATGATTGCTCCAGTGTGGTAAACGGTGCAATTAGCTAAGAGATATCACCTACGAAACGCTATATGTGCAACATGTTGCGAGATTGACTAAACGATGCTAGTCCGGTCGAAGCTCACAGCTTCATAGTGTAGAGACCAGGCTACGTATTAATTGAAAATCATCTCACTCGTTGTTGAACTCATTGTTCAGTCTGTTCAACGAGGAATTGTTCAATCGGGCCGGCTGTTGAACGAAAATCGCAAGGAAATTTGGGAACTGGAAAGAGGCTTCTCTGATTTAAACGCGGGAAAAAAAATGACAGTACGTTCTTGATGGAACGAACGATAGAGGTGGCTGCAATATGTGTTCAACTGCGAATTGCTGTAAGTGCATTTTGCGAAGTTTAGGCCAGTGGATAAAATACTTTGGACGCCAATCCCAGCCGATTGCGGGCCTTTACGTAAATCTGGCTTTGCTTGTGCCAATACCTTGTAAATGTTGAACACCACTAAGTGCAGAATTTGTTCTGATAAAAGAAATAATCATTCTTGCAACAGTACAAGGGGAAATCCGTGAAGAGGCTAGTTTGTCTTCGTTACTACGAAGGATACTGATGGTCAAGATGATGTGAATATCAGTGGAAATGAGCAGCTATGATATTCGGAGTTTGATTGCAGCTAACTCTTGGCAGGGCCGGCGAGCTCTGATGTATGATAGGTTTCATCCGCGGGAATTGTTCTCTCTTTTTGTTTCACTGTCTTAGAGAAAGTATCCAAGATATCGAGATGTGGGCTTGACATCCTTAATTACCCTTCTAAGTCTGTGGTCGACTATGTGTGATCTCTAAGCATTCCATAATTAAAATAAGCAACAAATAAATCAAAAAATCTTAATATCTCTCTCCCTCCTCTTCGAGAACTTGGTCTTTTAATAATTCTCCCATCCCGCTTATCGCCGACTTATATAATAATGTGCGTTTTAATAATACTATAGGAAAAGTAATTCTAACCAGGTATTTATCTAAGAAATATTTAAGGTGCGAGAATCTTACTAGTATGAACTAGTAAAATAGCTTCGTTACAACAGAATTATAATTAGTATTGCTATACAACTATTTAAACCTGCTGTAGCAATTTGTATTTAAAATAATCTATATTTTATTATACATCAGCACAGCTGGTGATAAGCAGAATTATTAATTAATATAGTATAACGTCTGTTTAAAATTGTATTATCTAGATATCAGTAAGACTGGCTGGACTACTAATAAGCTTAGCTTTAACTGGCTCTAAAACATGTCTGACTGGTATACAGCTTTAAAAACTATTAGTAAGTATTATATATTATTTCTTAATAATCACAGTAGTTATATAACTCAGCAGTTTGATTAGTTCTATACAGCGCGGAAAATTATTTCTTTATATACCTGTCTACTTGATACTAGTCAGTTAACTTTAATTAACGATGATAATATTAAGCTAAACCGCATTCGACCAGGGCGGCCGTAATTTTCCCTTGAAAGACATTCACATAACAGCAGTACATACTTATATCCTTCTGGCAGGCTTTGCTTTACGTCTAGCAAAGAGTTATATCCTCCCTCCTAATATAATTTGATGGGTGATGGGCAATAAAAAGCTACGAATATCGTATGAGTGACGCATGTGGCTGCGCTGCTCTGCCCAACATCTGCCCGATGAGGCTAAGCCTTGTGTTCCACATAACAGTATATAGTCAACGATGCAGCATAACACGAGGGCGCATTGTCTGTAATTGAAGTATCAAACAGCAGAGGGAAACGCCTGAAACAGAGTGATCACTGGAAAGATTGAACGAGCCGTTTTCAGAAGAATTTGCACTCTACTCATAATTTATGCTTTGCAAGGCAATGCCACGTAAGAACCATGAATATTATGCTGTTCTTACTGGACGAATTGATGAGCCGACAATATTCTCATCGTGGTATATCTATCCGCACATCATAGGGGAAACTTGCTTAATAATTTCTACAGGGGCGATGTACACCCTCGCGTGACTGGATGCAGGTCAAACCTCGGGGGCTTTGACGATCTTCTAAAAGCACAAGATTTCATGGAGAAAAATGGAGTCAAGCAGCCTAAACTAGTAATCAAGGAAGGGGCCGGAGAAAATACACCAGTACGAGGGAAGGAAGCCTTTTACGCAGTTGCCAATGGTAGAAACCCGGGGATTTACCCCTACTATCAGTAAGCTGACCCAGTGCTCAATGGGAAAACGAAAACTACTCACAAATAAAATCAGTGGAAAAACGAAGCCAGAGGTTGATCGATTCCCGGGTGCTTGTCATAAGCACTTTAGAACACATTCCCAGGCAGAAGCTTTTATTGAAGATTGGAAAAATTCCTATGCTGACGTTTGCCGGAGGGAGATAAAAGCAAAGCTAGATCAAGGATTCAGGCCGCCAAATATGGAACTGAAGTTCGATATCTTGCAAGCAAATGCCGAATACGATATAAACGAAGATATTACAAAGATGACCGAGAAGCTGATTCTGGAAGAGTGAATAGTGGAAGCATTCATTCATGCATTTATGTCGATTCTTCGCAATCAATTTCAGTCACAATCGATGTGTGACAGCGAGTTTAGAATGTTATACAAATTATTATCTTGGGACTGTGGTTTCATTACTCGAAACTGAATGTTGTCATGTTAGCTGTTTTGAAACCGGGAACAACCAATTATTACTGCACAGTGCCTTGTACGGGAAATTATTTTTTCCACTCCGTTATATAACCAGCGTAGCGTAGTTTCAAGCCAAGGCACCAGAACTGATCAGAGGGAGTAAGTGGTGACACCAGTTGCTAGAAGAACTATACAACTGGGGATTGTTCCTGTTTTAGCACATGTTTCAGTGTTGTAGCGTTTAGTATAATATATATAAGGCAGCAACAAGCGAAATGCAAGTGATTTAAAACACTGACAAAGTGTTTACCCAACCGTTGAGTCGTAAACCCATCATATAACCTAAATTTGTTGAGCCATCAGCTTTAACGTCCACCTCTTCCATGTCACGAAGGACTTTCTCGATATGTTCAGCTGCCCCGCTGAGTTTCATAATATGTGCAATGGCACAGTGGACACGGAGAAGTCTGGGGTCTGGTGGATCGATTGTTCGGTTGGGGCTAAGGCTTAGAGTACGAGTGACGGGAAATAGCGGATCGCGCAGGAAGGGACTGTCTTCAAGCGATTCGATCTTATACTCATGTGGCCTCCCTGTGGGTTCGAAATAGATTTGAAATTCACCAAATAGTCGATGGTATTCAAGCGTCAGCGTAAGAGCATTAACAGGCCTATCGATATTCGCTCCATCAAGACGGTGACTGAGCCCAGGGTCAAACATATCCAGTATACGGAACACATTCGTTTTTGACTCGCTCTTGGGAAGGTTAGTACGCAGCTAATGAACAATTGTTGGCGATGAACGCACCAGCTCTGACTCTCCCTGTGCCATTGTTGTCAAGCTATGAGGGAGGATGTGCGCAACTTCCAGATACTGGAATCCGCCCCGTGCTTCACTGCTCAGAAGATTTCCATCGTCGTCTTTACATTTATTCCCATCCTCTGCGCTGCGCTTCCTAGCCTCGACGATATCAAACTTGCGAGATATTACGCACCGATGGTGATCACGTACAAGACAGGCTTTCCGTAAGGCAGAGACACGCTGTCTCGTGCCCACTTGTGTAGGTGTCTGACTCAAGGACAATGCTGTAGGTGTTGCTTGTGGTGTTTTAACTGACGAAGCCCTAACTAATTGGCCTCATTAGCAGATAACCGTAAAGAACAGGGGGCAATCATACGTGGGAGAAGAAAATTGTCGACAATATACTCAGCAAAACTTTCAAGAGCGCTCTTTGTACGCATTGATTTGCTTGGATCCATACTTCCGTCTCCAGCGAAGGACTCAAGGTAAGACAGGGCAGCAGCCATATCATTATCAGCAGTTTCACCGGTAGCATTAAGGCTCTCATAAATATATGAAAAGAAGAATCTTAAAAACGTGTCTTGGGATATTACCCGGTCAAACATCTCCAAGATGAGTTTTGCGGGCTTATAACCCCTCTGTACGCTTTGGCTAAGGCCATAATCCTGAACCAAGAGATGCAGGAGTGCATGAGCTTTTTGGTTCTGTTGAGGTGTTAAGAGAAGTGTGGGAGAGAAATCCAACACAGATTCTAAGGATGACTGATGTCGATGCTGGGCCATGACGGTAGGTTACGATAAGAGCAGAGTCACAAGGGGATTGACTGATCGATATATCAGGACTCTATCACGTGAGGTGAGACTACAATCGTTCCGGAGGTATATTTATCCGCTGTCGTTCCGATGAGCTAATCACTTTCCATGAAGAGTAATGTAATCGGACACCGAGCCGGCGCGACACCGAGCCGGCGGCGGTCTGCCGCCGCCTCGCTGACTGCCTCGCTGGCCGCTTCCTAAGGCTATTCAACCACCAAGAAAAGGCTATATACATTAATTCTTATTGTTTTTATAAGGGTATCTAAAACGATTGTGTCCTTCACTTCTATATATACTACAGCGGGCTGGCCGGCGTGCCCTGGCCGGCCTTGGTACTGCAGCCTGAATTGCTTTATTTTCTTATATTTAAGCTATATTAAAGCCTCTTAGCCTATTAAAGTGCCTCCCTGCTGTATATAATAATATAAGGCCTTTCCCTTTCCTTTTTTACTTTTTGGTAACTCGAGTCATGTAATGCTGCCGTTCTCATAGATAATAAATACGTTTATTGGGTGGTTAATCCAGCTGGGCAAGATACGATCTTTTCCATATACTACCAATCACGTTCCCGGTAATCCCAACTCTGACACTGCTGCCTCTGTTACGTAGCACACTTATCCAAGGCCGAAATACAGACGTCCAACATGAAGCTAGGGACAGATTCTAAGATATTGTCACAAAATATAGAATTCTCCAAATCTCAGAGTCTGAAGGTTGTCCGTCGTGAGCTTGATAACAAGGTCTCTAAGCCCACGGTCATATTCTCCTGTAAAGCTGTACACTTCAATCACGGAGGAGTTGAATGAATCTCAGCTGGCATGATCCAGAAAGCATTCTTTGAAGTAATGTCTTGCTTTGGTTTTAAGCCCATTAATCTGGAAATAATCACCCTGTGCGTACATTTGGGCATGGAAAAAGGCTTGGGCATTTGAAGAACCGTCGTAAGTATAGTCGCCCGTGTACAAAAATTCTAGTGCCTTTTTGACGGGCCCTGGATCACGATCCTCGAGAATAATCTCACCATAGCTTTCCTATAAGCGATAAGATAATTTAGTGAGTGAACCAGAACGTAGAGAAGAACTAGAACATATACCTTAAAAGAACTGTCACAAGTGACTTCAAAATATTTTGACTGAGGACCAATAATGTTTTGATGGGCTGGAAAGACTTCATCCCCACATCTTATCGACAGATCACTGTATTTTGGATTGAGATACTGACTATCTTTGAGTCAGTGATTGCTCGCAATAATAGTACTATTGGTGGTCTCTGAACTTCGGACAAGGTCTTTCATTTTTTTTTGGTTATTTCGTCGTTTGTAGAGACCGTCTCGATAGGTGTAACAGCTTCGGCATATGCAGCTGCTGTATAAACGGACTTTAATCCCGCTGACTTGTTTTTCTTCTTTCCTTTCTTCATCAGGGGCTCGTGAGACTTTTCAGATGGGCAGAGGCAGGCTCTATCGCAAAAATATTATCACCGCTATATATGCCGCATTGGACGAATTACAATTGTATTCGAGCTGCTAGTGGGTGCCAAGGAACTGTTTCGGTTATCGGCTTCTCTGCCCCGGAGAGACAACTGAGACCCAACATATGCAGGCATCATATGACGTGGCCATGCATCAGCAATTACCATAAAATAAGTATCGAGTAAGAGCAGTAAGGCAATGGAATAGAGCTCCGTCATTCTACATTCTCCCGAGTCCATAATTGGTTAGAACACCGTAATACACTGCTTATCTGGGCGTTAATGTCGTTTGAAGCACCAAGAAACATGAGAAGAAAGAGACCTCCCTATTAATTAATAATCAGGTAACCCAACTGAGTTTGGGTAAAAGAGGGCAACTTTCTTCCGCAGCTGTTGCAAGTAATCTCGTGCTGACCGGATACATACACCACCCGGTCACCACCCGCCATGTTTTTATTCTTGATTGGTCGGCCCACGCCGGCAAGATGACACGAGGTGAGGTTTTTGACTTTTCGTAGATATCCAAGGAAATTGCTGCACTTCCACACGCAGCCTTGTCTGCGGGGGCTTTATTAAGTGAGTCGATAAATGCTCTTTGCTCTTTACGACCACCTGCAAGTCTTTGTAGCAATTAATATTCCACAGCAACTTGATAAGTTACCATTCACCGAGGTGGTCAACTCACAACTCAACTTTGAGCCCCAGCTACGGCACGGTATGTCACGTCAATTTGATACGCTTCACAATAAACCAAACATCGAGGTAGCGTCCCCAAGCTCTCCAAAGACACCACATGTTTCTACAGCTGAGTATGGGAACCCATCAATTCAAGCCTCCAATAGCAGTGGGTATGTACGAGGATTTTGGCCTTAGTGAGAACGTAGTGCTGCGGACATTATCGTTTTTAGAAGACCCTAGAGTATCTTTACGCTTCGGCAGCTTGAAAACCAGGTGTAAGCGGCTGGCTCGGTTGAGACCAAAAAGATTTGAACAAAGTGACGACCGCCTCTAGTGAGCATCAAGTGGGGTTGATTCTGCCGTGCCGCTGATTGGAGGAATTTCAATGTAGCGCACGGATGCAACCAACCCGGGTCATGATTAGACATGAAAGCGAACACAGTTAAGACTTGAAAGATACTGGTACACTTAACGAGAATCAAGATGTGTCTATTTTCTCTGACCGACCGAAAGAATTCTAACCCGGCGAAGAATTCGATTGTATCATAATTGACTCTTGCTGCGGTCTAGGAGTGAGTACAATAGTGCCGCGCGCAAACACCCGTTAGTGGAGATTCATCTAGCTTAATATCATTAAGCCTTGTAGATAATTGTTGCGTAAAATTCGTATCACTGCAGTGACTTGACCTATGAGGTGCCTGCAGTAAAGTTTGCAGTCCCGCAGAATGCGGCAGAGGGGATAATTTCGCGATACTTTGATGCACCGTAGTTGAAAGCTTGCTCTCTCGATAGATTTGGAACTATATGGCTGATACGAATACTGTGCCGACGGATTTTACAGTCAAAATAGTCTTTCTAAATTCACTGGCCAGGTTGCTAGCATTACATGCATCTTTCCATCGAGCAAGTGTCCTAATGCCACTGGTTCAATCCTGTACAATAACCATCAAATATTCGGCGCTCCATTAGACAATGCACTGTGTCTGACGAAAGGAGATTTCGCTAGTGCATCTGCCTGAATACTCCAAACATGCTTACCTAACATGGCTAATCTGGGGCCAAAATCTCTTAACAAGAGATCAATGTCCACACTATACTCATGGAGAGTTTGGTGGTACATATCGTCTGTCCCAAATGTTGCAACATCCCATATCTTCTTGATTCGACTTTGTGAAGTAGAACAATCATAGTTCCCCCTAACTTGACATGCTCTAATCCAAGCGCCAGTTGTGTCAAGGTCAGTCTTCTGGCTTCACGATGCTCACGGTAGGTGGCCCTCTCGTGTGTTCTTAGTACTTGGCCGTCACATATGACTAGGTCAAATCTCTGTTCAGAAGAAAATTGACGAGGTAAGAACTTTCCTGCATCTGGGTGACCGTTGGGGATATCCAACCGGCCCATATCTGTAGCCAACAAAGTAATGTCGAGAAACTTCAGTGAAACATTGTGATGTTTAGGTAAAAGAACATTATGACCTCCTTCAGATTTTGGTAGACTGAATCCAATAGCCCGGGCTTGGGGATTAATCCTCAATGCTGTCGCAAGAAAGCCTCCTGGTGCCACACACATATCAAGGATAGCCTGCTTGTCTGGATTGAGGCCGTTGATGCAGAAAACATCAGTCATTTGGTGCATATCATGCCCTATATTCTTCATCATTCTGAAGAAATGCTTGGCCGTCTTTTTGTCAGCATTATCTGCTGTTTTACGCTGCTTCTCAAAGAATTGGTCGCCTTCCGGATTTTCCCAGCCCTATTGAACATATCAATATCTGACACTTTGAGGACCGGCCTTTCCTGACCTTCTGCCGAAGCTTTGGAAGTCGCCAAAATTCTGGCACCTCTCTCAGTAGATATTGTGTTATAGCATAAGAAGGACTTTGATTATCGCTAGATTGAGAGGCTGGAGCTTCCTGATAGAGAACAGTACCCTGAAGGGCATTCTGTACGACAGAAACTGAGTCATATACGCTGTACCATGTTTGCTCTGAGTATGAAGACATTTTGCTCCAACAGTGTGTTATGTATTGAATTTCTCCTAGAGAAAAGTGAAGAGAAAAAATAGATTTGTACCTTTACAAAGAGAAAAGGCGTTTGGGAGGATGGGGGCTGGGGCTTGACTTTGTGTATATGTAACCCGGCTTGGCATGACTCAGTTTCAACAGCCAATAAAAGGCACCAGAAAGAATCTTTATCGCCTCTACATACTCAATTGACGTGGCATTGACATGCATCCGCTCTAAGCAGGCCCTGAAGCGGCCTTTAGCAGACGTATTAGACAGGATCACGAGGCGAACTAAGATGACCCTCAGAATGTGTGGTTGCTAATGTGACCCGTGATCGTACGAATCGTATTCTAGCTTGAATGATCCAAAATCGTTGTATATAAATAATTGCCCTCTTTTGCAACTAGCTGTGCATTTAAACCAAGGCCGAGGTGAGTGCCAACACCCAAAATGCTTTGGTGTTAAGGGCAACGCTTCACGCTCAGTATTGCTCGTAAGAGCCCTTGGGATCGGTCACAGCCATGGCACTCTTCCTTTTAATCTCTTCTCCTTCTCCTCCTATTCGTTAACACCATCAGCTTCTTTCCCAGATTTCACATTGGAAATTTTATGTCGAATTGGGTCCGCTTTAGTTCAGTGGCTTAATGTCGATTTTGAGCTTGAAGAAGGGAGTGGAAGATATATGAAGCCAAGCAGGGAAGGAGGACCAAAAGGAGGGGTAGTGCAGTACTTTTGCTAGTGCTTACACCAAGCTAAGGTTGCATGTTACCGCGGAGAAGGATTAGAGGCTTCTGATGAGCTTTAGAAGAATCCTTGTCTAGTATCTCTTAGTAGAGGGCCTCACGGGTTTGGCTTTCGCCCACCCCACACACTTCGTTCACACATCGCTTCGCATCTCACCTTAAGTGCGGTATGAGTTCTGACAAGTAGACGTGCTTGACAAAGTCTTGCAGTTTAAATAGAGTATTGATAGAGACAAGGTATAAGCATCGAATACAGTAAGTGCTTTGATTTTCGAGAACAAACGGGAACGACTAACTTATGCGCGATGACGTTCATGATTTTGCGGGCCTCCAGCGAATAGCCTAAGCGGAAGGCGGTGCAACATTAGCACTGTATCCTTCTAATGTACGCCATACCGCGCAATCATGCTACTGTGGAGGTGGATCAAAGGACTTCCGTTCGCAATCTGCCGTCGAAGATCGCTTCCGTACTGTAATTTACTCATCATGAAATAAATGAAAAAACGTTTCCTAACTATTTCGCTTGCCCGCTGCTGTTCTACAAAGCTGGTTCTTATATCGACAGTCACTTCATCATGGCCTATGTAGGCGTGACCATCCCCCGGTCAAAAAGCAAGATGTTGTGAATAATGTGCTAAAAGTTTATAATATCTCTTTCAACAAGGTCTTGCCAGTAGTGACTACTACAATCTAGTCTACGTAACTACAGTAATCTCGTCGCTTTCTTATCGCCTAATGTACCATTTTATACAACGCTACCTCAAGAGGTGATAAAGACGGAAATAAGAGAAATGGGTCGTGTGGGCGGCGTGTTCCTCTCCTGGAGCATCATCCAATCGACGACACCCGCAGCTGACTTTGCACCGTAGCCCATACCAAGTGTTATAAGGAATTTTGATTGGTTCTTCAAGCCAAGGTGGGGTCACCACTGCGCACATACAACAATAGCCCACAAGGCCCTCAAGTGTTTTCTTAATTTGTATCGCCACGGTCTGAGAACGTCTAAGTTGACATGCATGTCATATACTTATGCAGTTTAGCAGTTTCCGGAAGCTTATGCTACGTCTGACTTGCGGATGATGAGTAATTAAATGCTCTGGAGGGTTAATCCAACAAAACCATGTCCATATTACAGATGATTATTGTTTTTCTTATTCTATAGGTTGAAACGCAATATCACCTGGCCATACCAAGACAATCATATAGGTCTGTGTATCGTGGCGAGTTGTCGAGCCAGAAGATTTGAGGATACATCTGATATTACTTATCGAATCCTGGCAGTGCATCCGCCGTGGCAGATTCATCCAGGACTGGTTGTCTCTTCTGATTCTCGCGTTTACCCGCCGCCGTGGCGGAGATGGTCGTAGCGAAGGGATAGGCCCTTCCAACGCATTTGACCGACTAGTTTCTGTAAGATGTGATCTGGCTGTCCTGAAAGACCTTGAAGATTTAGATGTCAATGAGAACATCTCGGCTCTTGATATAGAGGTCTGGGTATCCAAGTTCTTAGTGAAGGGCTTGATGATGCTGTGTAGCTTCTTTACATGTTCAATGAAATCCACAAGTACTGGCTGGCCACGGAATTGAAGGACGAGTTCCGAAACTAATTTTTTCATGGTCTGCGAACTTATAGGAAGAAATAAGCCTTAGCATTTAGGTAGCTAAATACCAAGTCGTTACTTCCTTATCAAGTCGCTATTTTCAGACATCCCTGAGGCATATCCCACGCCAATGTCTTCCTCGAATGAGTTATTTCGCTGTGATGCAGCAACGGAAGGGATGTATTATTCTGAGCTTTTATTCATGATAGAGCCGAATTTTCATTGCTCGTTTGCGGACTGGTCTTGAATGTAAGATAGTTTTCGAGAGATCCTTTTCGTAACTTACTTCAGTGGCGCGGAAGAAACTGAGGAATAGATGATTTGTTGGCTATGGACAGGATGTGTTGACCTCATCATGACGCGGACAATTGGCGCAGAGTTATGGGCATCTTGCAATACCACAACCGAAGTAATCTCTACAACTCCAGTGATTGCAAGAATGCATTCAATACACCATGAGGTTTTCTGATCTTGAAGCTATACTGAGAAGTATCTTTAAGGATGGCCAATGCTCAGACTTTACCATATCTTGCCAGTGCCATGACTTCAGAGTTCATCGAGCCATAGTCACCCTTTTTTAAAGGTTGCGTTTAAGGGTGAGTTCATGGCAAGTACAACAACAGCCTTGCTTTACTTATAATTCTCTCTCTAATATAATTCATTAGGAAGCAAAAGCATTACACGTCAACCTACCTGATGATGATGTTCAAACTATTGAGTCTGTATTAAGATTCTGCTACCTCCAGGACTATCGGCAAGATGACGAATCCTTGAAGTTAGATCCAACTGAAGCTGTGAAAGAGCATCTGCGGGTTTATCTAGCCGCCGACAGACTGGGCATAACTCCTCTCATCGATCTTGCTGCTACCCGAATCATCAAATGGGCGCAAAATGGTTGGTCGTCCAAAGATTTTTCAGGCATTCTCCAGAGAATTTGGTCATTAGTTCCACCTCATCAGACCATTCTCCGTGATGCTTTGGTGGAATTACTGCATCAAACATTGGACACGATCTCACTGAACCAGCTGGAAAGACATTCCTTCTGGGATGTCCGGATTTCACGGTCGCAGTACTGGAGCGAAAAACTGAAAAGCATGATCAAACTATTAAGCATATGAATTAGCTCACAATACAGAATTGGGCGTTGAATTCAAATACGCAAAACTTCAGATGCCGAACTTAGAAGGCAATTGTTGATGGTCCAAGATGGTATTTTGCATTACACCACTTCTGTTGTATTTCCGTCATGCTTAATGCTTGCCACAGATATTCCGAACCACTAACCCCTATGTGATGGTGGTTGTTAGGTTGTGCTCTTTTATGATTCAATTCTCAGCTTGTTTGGTCTAATCTGGATAAGAGAAACTCGTATCACTCGCTATACATCTATTCCATGTATTTTGTACACTAGATGCTTGATACTTCGTTGCTGTAGTGTGCCATAATATCCTACTGCCTTCGCCCCAACCTAATTTAAGTTTGCGCTCATAGCCAACATAGTTAGACTAGGTGCCTGGAATGACTCGAGCAGACATGACCAATGATACAATTTTAATTGGGACCTAACAGACGATATGCGTTCTCGATAGTAAAATATATGTCACTGGATCCCCGGACCACCGGGCTTTTTCTGCTTCAGCCTTATTTTTCTTAGACGCATCCCCCGCGATGATTGTAACTGTTTCATCCGTATATACTATTCCCTCTAAAGAACAGTCGAGAAGTGCATGAAACATATGATAGTAAGCTTACTACTGCTGTGAACTGATTAAAACTATCTTCTGTACTTTAAAAAAATCCTATATCTGCGGCGTGTACATAACGCTTTGGACTAGCCGTATATAAAATAAAGAAATATATACCGCTTTCTAACTAAGATAAATGTCTAGAAATAGAAGATGTATAGCCTGTTGATAATCTGAATGCTGAAGATCGACGAATCTATATAGATTATTAAACTAGAACTTAGCATACTTGAGGTAGTATGGCACAAATCTGTTCTTTAGAAGCTTAGATCTGTCCTACGTTTCGTTTGGTGCCGGCAGATTTTTCGATGCCAACATTCTGCCTTGATCGGTTGCCGCGTGAATCCAGAGTCTGCGGCTAGACTTCCAGTGGCGGTTTGATGAGGAATCATAAACGCACGTGATGGAGAAAAACCGTTTCTCCCCACAACTCATCATCTAGGCTTTACCTCGTTTTATTTTACTCTCTAGTATGAAATAGGTAGACCCTTGGAAGATCTTCACATTATGCTCCAACAACTGGTAACTCTTTTCATACATCTACCGAACTTGGTTCTATTTCAATATTTTCCCAAATCTAGTTCATAGAGACGTCACTATGCCGACATGATCGACTGGGAATCAATTAAGCCAATCTTGTTAATTGCTTGAATCATGAGCGGTCAAAGTTATCCGAACTCAGAAGCAAGGGTCACTGTACCAAGAGAATATGACAAAAATTGTGCATATAGACGTTGATTGGCCGAATTTGGATGGGATAAGATATCCGAGGGGTACCAAGCCTTTGGTGGGAACACGGTTCAGCAGCCACCATGCAGGGTTTGATCTTCGAAGGCAATATCCTCCACTATAGGTTCTCTGTTCTTAGCTGCAACACGGATCGCCAGGGACACCTTCCGATGCTTACGAACTGCGAGCTTCATCCGGGGCAGAAAGTACCTTTGAATCTGGGCTTTCTTGAGGGGAGGGACAAAAGTTTGTGTGAAACAAGAGGAATTAATTGGATCAGTCCCACAAAATCTTGCGTCCACAAAACTTTTTGTTGTTCACGTGATTTAGAGGCAGGGAAGTACTAGAAGCTTCCACGGAAAGTCCACAGAAAGCGGACCCTACTGGAGCCCCTCTGGATATTCCCGTTCTTGTGGCACAACAAACCTCTGATAATGTTATGTAGTTGTATGGCAAACTTTACAGTATGTAGATATCATTAATGATAGGGGAAGGCGGAATCTAACCCTCCTTTGTTCGTTCTAGGAAATGCGTGTTGGTAAAGTAATATGCTTGGGAAATGAAGTCTGTTTATTCAGGTTGTTCATCGTGGCTAAAACTAGTTCGCTGTCGACCTAGGATCTCACATATGTCATCGGGTTTGAGTCCCATAGTGATAGGACTATGGATTGGCAGTAGGAATGTGGGCAGGAAGTTTATGGGCATTCTTGGATATCACAAACGAATCGCCGAGCAGTCTCCTTTGTTCACTTCTTATATGATAAGAAGATGTATATGGTCACAATCCTCTTCTATTATTTAGAGGTCTAGACTATTAGACAGAGTTATATTGCATGCCTTACGCCAGTCGAGTTTGCGCTGTTATTATTTAAATTAATTAAGTATTATAAAATTTTACATATATATCTCCAGGCTGAGAATTATCTAAATTTTTTTTAAACAGTATACGATGACACGGTTAGCGGGGCGCTGAAAAAGGCCCTCATTGAACCGTCCGTCTGCCACTTTCCACCGCCTGCTCTATGCCAAAGTCTCACTACCCTTTAAGGCCTAGCGTGTCCGCTTTGGGGATCGCGCCCGTGTTCTCGCCGCTTTTGCGCCCATCGCCTGCCGCCTCAACCCCCCCGCTCGACCTATATAACCCTGTCTTCCCTCCCTCGAAAGGCGACGCACTTTCTCATCCTCTTTCTCCTGCTGCCTGCCTTGCTCCCGGGCACACTGGCCCCCTCCCACGATGCCGCATTATCCGAACACTGCCCTTTTTCGGTATG